TTGTAGGGTTTCCAGCGAAGTTTCATTTTAATTTTATTGTTGTCGCTGTCCCCCATTCGAGTTTTGCCCTTTGTTTTGTTTGGTAGTTTTTGCTTTTCGCTGGCTGTGGGAGTGCATTATTCGAACCACCACCGATACTACAGATGCCACCCTTCTGCGGTAAAGTATATTTTAGTCTTACTTTCTACCACACCGCTCCTCTAGTACAGCCACATTTTATGGGCCTCGTGATTTGGTTTTTGGTAGTTAGCTACAATATGTTTCCAGTTTTATAACAGACTTCACCCCGAGATATTGCGAGTTGGCTTACATTCGCGTATTTCCGCTTTTGTTTTCATCAAATATTATGTCATGCCTAATGAATGTGTGTGCTAGGAGCAATATGCTCGATTTTGTGGGCTTGCTGCACATAACCAATTGATTAGATTGGCAATAAACAAAGATAAAGTAAAGGGGAGTGTATCAGCTTAGAGATCTTGGCTGATAATTAATTAAATTTATAAATAGATAAAGTGATCGTTGAATTTTTATGACTTGAAGTAAACCACAAGAGAACAAAAATATTAGTTTCATTTTTATTTATTAATTTTAAAAAGCGGCAACGATTATTCTGTCAAAGTTTTTGACACCAAATTTTTAATATTTATCATATTGATTAAGTCGATTTTCAATCAGGAAAATATATTATTTGTTCCCTCTTATTTTACCTAACTACTATGCAAAACTAATTTGAATTAGCAAAACCTAGCAATAAGTTTAAAAATTTGGTGGTCTCATATAAGACTGCCTTCTGAAATACATTTTAAAACTCTTTTAGCTTTCCTTCCTCGCTTTTTGCTGATTCAAAAACTTAATGTTGTTTGCTTTTTTGTTTTGCTCAGTTCTGTTTTTGTTTAGACTGTTTTGCCAGCCGCGAAATTTGGACAGCGTTTGTGTCAAGTAAAGTGTCGGTCTCAATTTCAGCGAAAACGTGTCAAAACTAGTTTAAGACCATATTTTCTGCTTTGATTGCAATATTTTTCCAAAGTGTTTCGGCTTTCAGTTGAGCGATGGAATGGCCTGGGTAATGGAGACAAGGCACCTGCACAGAAACCCAAATACAAAAGCCATGGAGTGAAAAAAATATGGGTATGAGACTGTGGTAGAGTGTGAATTTGCTCACCTTGTTTGCTGTTTTTTCTGCATTCCAAGAATCGGTTTTTGGTGGTTACGGGCACCTCTTTCCTAATCCCGGCCCTGTTATTTCTGCCACGAGTGTTGGACTGGCGATCCCTGCTGATCGCCACAAATCAGGCGCGAGTACGTGCCGGGCATCGATGATCGCAAAGAATCGACTGCAAACGGGCACGTCCCGATGGTCAGCATTTTATCGTCTTCTTTTCGTAAATTTCCCTTTATGAGCCTCCACCAGCCTCATCATTATGCATTCCGACTCCAACTTGGCAAGGGGTAGGGTTCGGGATCGGCGGGCAACTAATAAGCGTTTTAGCACAGAAGCCACGTACCGACTTCATAGAGTTATTAGTGCCGTACAAGGCGTCATGGTGATAAGATGGCCAAGGGAAACCGTTTGCGGTCGCCATATATCATGTAAGTGCATAAGTGCATATTCCGCCCAGATCCCAGCAGTCAAACGCTGCATTTTCCCATGGGTTCTGGGAGTGCGTGCTCATTGGAGGAGAACGGCCAGAGGAACAGCGCCGGCTGGAGTTGGTCAAATGCCCCAACCACTGGGGTCACGGGAAAGAAACTGCCAGCGGATGAGGGAGGAATTAATTTGCGAAAATCTCTAGATCATCTGGAACCCATTTCGATATTCAGACACTGCATATTGCCAGTATTTGCAAAACGGAAAAGGGAGGAGTTGAAGTCTTGTGGGTAAAAGTTTCCACTACTTGTAATATCCTAACAATAAGTTATACGTTTCCTTTTATAACCTACAATTAGGTTACTATTAAAATAGTTATAAAATTATATACTTCTTTTAAATAAATATATAATAATGTAAGTTGTAGCAGTTAGTTGTTTACATTTTTCACTACGGACAATGATATACTCATGGAAGAATGAATTAAGACCACACGCTAAGATTACAGGCGAAGAACTTTCTAGGCTGGGTTTCATAACGAGCTATGAAAAGTATGGGTTGACGAAAAACCCCGCCTTGACAAAAGGGACTTATGGCCTACCAAATGCCAAATAATGATATACTACTTACGCTCACTTGCCGAGTGTAATGAACTGGCCATAATACAAGTGCTTACAGCAATGCCTTCTTCAATAATAATTCAAATCAATGCAGTCAGTTTGTCTGGCCAGTCTGGTAATTGAAACTGTGATGAATAGTCAGCGAGTGCTAATAGGCATCTTGGCCGTCTTGCATTCGACTGTTCATCCGTGGACATTCCGCATCATGGTCGCTCCACTCCGTTCCACCGTAATTAATCAAAGCGAGACCTTGGCAGCAGAATCTTCCCCATCAACAGGTAGTAAAACGCCAAGACGTGCCCCATCAATACGTATCCATCTGCTGCTGTGAAGGTATCTGTATCTTTTTTTTCCTATGTTTCTGCAGAAAGACGCGGGAGTCGTTCGATTCGTGCGTGACAGAAAGAGTTGGGTTCGTGTTTGAAGCTGAGTGGATGGAAAATGAATGCGAAAGTCTCAACAACGACGATTTAAAGATCTCAGAACATGAATATCCATGACTTTACAGCTAATGAATGTTGAAGTACATATATCAACATTAATTTTATGATGATTAGATGATTACTGAAAACATTTGGCATTGATAAGATTTATACATTTACATTCTGTAACTTCTACAATAAAATCCATTTTGTTCATAGCTTTGGTTATAAATACATTAAAATTATGAAATATGATATTATAAAACAATAATAACTATGATATTATAATACAATAATACGATGGTATCAAAAAAACAGTCTTTTAAAAACCACTAACATAAACAACAAAGTAACAGCCATCAGAACGCGAAAGCCTTTGGGTCAGTTGGTAATTCTGTATCTCAAAAACCATAGGATGGTTTGATGGGTTCGAGTCGTGTTGTGAAGATGTTGGAAGGCATGCAACTTGAACTCAAAGAGAGACTCCTCGACCCGAGATCAGCCAAGGCAGTCAAAGAGAAGCCCGCGGAGAGACTTCCAGCCAACAGATACACACCTCGATCGGAGCCGTTTCAGAAATACTGGTTTTTCCTCAAGCCAAGTTGCTTACAAAGATTTGCTTTCATTTTTCCGTTAAAATTTGCCCAGGTATGGGTGAGTATCTGAGTATCTTGCTCGGTACAGCTGTCGTTGGCGTCAAGGTGAGTTATCTGGTTACCTGTATCTGTATCCGAATGCAAGAATATCTGTGAGTTACCCAGGTAGCCGAAGACGAAGCCGAGTCTTTGCTCTCTCATTGTGGCTTGGGTTCTTCCCAACCCTGCCTCCTCACCTTCTTGGGATTTCGATGGCTCGATGGCTGCTATGTTAATCCACTGGCCAAACATCCCAGGGGATATGCCTTGGCAAAGAATCGGGCCCATACACACCTGAGGAGTGCGTTGGCAGCTGCAGCTGCGCAGGTAGCCAGAAGAGGTTATTTGATTACTCAACCATTTTTCTTGCCGATTTTCGCCTGTTCTTCTGCGCTTCCTCTGGATCGTTCGGAGCTCAGAGCCACATGTTGCCGGTGAAACCTCACGTCGGCATGTCCGGCACAAATTCTGTGTTTTTTTGTATTTTGTTTTTTGCTGGAATTCAAGCCTTAAGACGCAAAATTGAAAAGACATCTGTCGTCGTCAGATCGATTTTTTCTGTCGGGCATTTCCGCAATGCAGACATATTTCGATACCAAGAAATTTTTGGTTTTTGTCTTTTGGGGTACTCAATACTTGAGAATGCATTTAATTGAGCCGAAATTTGAATATTTGATGGCCCCTTGACTTCCATACATATTGATCCCTTTGAATCTTTTAAAGTGAAAGTCACTTGAAGGCCGCCTCAAGTTTCTTTTGACATCGGTGGCAAAATATTGATATCTTTGAAGAGTCTATTCAAATTTAATTTCTTACAAACTTTGTTATGCTTCAAAACAAATGAAGTATGGAATTTGGTTTATTTTGGTTTCAAGTAAGGAGGTATGCTGTGCTTTACATACCATGAGCCATTAATCTTCACCCTGAAAGGACATCCAGACAGCAGCTGCATCGCATCCATCTGGCCAAAAAGACATATCTAACAGATACCCCTGGTTGCCTTGACATATCAGGCATGCAAATCTTAATGAAGTTCTCTGCGTCGGCGATCATAGATACAAATGCAGCTGTGGCAATTGAAACTGCACCTGCTGCAACGAATACACATTTTTTCTTTCCCACTTGCCGCTCGTTTACCCATTGAACCGCTCCAATTTAGTTCATTGACTAGTGCCGCAATCGATTTTGTTGGAAACGAACGAATCCAAAGGCAAGCGTAACCTACTTTCCGCTGATAAGATAATGACGCTTTTCCTCCGGTTACAGTTTACAGTAGCGCTCGCCGACGCCTCAGTCAATGACTTACCATTTATATAAACGCCTATGTACCCACAGACAAATGTATTTATGTTTGTCTGGCTCTAGCACTTGTGTACATTTTCATTACTTCTAATAAAATCCACGGAACGGGGGTTACAGCTGTCTGAGATGTCTGGTTCTACATATATATATATATGCACCTCCAATCGAACATAACGCTTTCCCAATCCCCATCGCTTATCTCGCCCGTTAAATGATCAAGACAGAATTATATTCGATTTTATTATATTTTTTATTTTAACACAATTGTTGTGTTTGTGTGGCTCTTTCGTTTGTTGTAAATTACAAAATTAATATGTACTCTGTATATAAATAAAGTATTTCAACTTTTCTATTATTGGCCTTAGCAGTAATAAATGTCACCTTACGGCTCTTAAGACTCGTCTTAGTGGCTACGGGAAAAGACTTACAAAAATACATATCGCAATGATTTATTGAACATTTTCACTTACATATATAAATCTATGTATTGTATATTATACATCCCTTTTAATATAACATGGATATATAGATGCACACGTGTTACGTTCATAATTACAGGAAGAGTTTGGTTCTCCCTCGAGTTGATAAGTTTAAACTAGGTTTTTCTGATTTATACATGTACTAGAAGACAACCCTAAGAACTTATACTGATATTGATAGGGTTTACAGCTCTAGATAAATTAGGATTAATGTGTTAACTTAGATATACCGACTTGTCTTATCGAATTTAGTTCAACTTTGATTTTGTGTCTATTTTCTTTCTAATTGAAGATCTGTCTTGTCGAAGCGCTAACGCGATATAATTCTTCATACTATGTTGTGTAATGCATTTTCAACTAACATAAGTTCTAAAGTAAGCTTATATCTAGTGTTGGTATTATGAATTCTTATGCATAATGATTTCGAATTCGATTTATAGGAATATTTCGGACATTTCTATTTCGATTTATATTTATATTTCTACCCCGTTTTGTGTTTCGTTAAATGTGTGTGGAATCGAAGCAATAACAGTTCTGCAGAAATTTGTGGTTTGTTCGCAGTTGCTTGGCTACATTAGTGGTTAGCTCTAGTTTAAATAGTTCATTTACGTAAGATCAAGATCACTTTTTGCATTTACAAAACAAAAAACAAAAACTTGTTCCCCAGGGCCCTTGCAATACTCCTCCATAAAAATATATGTATATATATAGTCTACCCATATGGGTACATTTATCTCTGAATCGACGTTGGGACCGGCTAGGCCGGCGCCTTGTCCCGACACTATCAACATCCGTACAACTCTTAGTATATAAAAAGTCTTTTCAATTTCTACGTCATCTTGCCGCGTCTGGCGGGGAATTCTATATGCGCCAGCCCTGGTCGTCGTCCACATTGGAGTCCGTGTCTGAGGGCTCCTCGCCGTACATATCGGCCAGCTTGCGGAAGCGCGGTCCAAAGTTGGACAGGTAGTCGAAGTTGAGATCGCCGTCGTCGGTGCAGGACGCCAGGCTGGACAGACTGCCGTCGGAGTTGCCGTCACCCTCGTACGCATAGTGCCGCACATCGTCCACCGTGGTGGCACCCACGTCCCGGTCGCAGTTCTCCTTCTTGTCGCCAAGGAAATCGGCGATGTCCGGTATGTCGTTGGGATCGCGCATGCTCCCCTGCAACGCGTACGGATCCTTATAGAGTTTCTCCTCGTACGGCTGGCTGCGCAGGACATTTAGGTCATATTCCGTGTCCCGCTCGCCGCCACCCTCGTCCTCGTAGTTAATGATCGTTTCGCGTATGTCATCGATATCCTTTTCATGCCATCCGTTCTTCTGCTTCTTCTGCACCACCACGGCCAAAAGGATGATTATCAGCAGTGCCAGGCACACAATGACCGCGATGATAAAGTTGCGATCAATTCCAAAGCTGAAGGCCACGGCCACTGATTGCTGGCAACCGCTGTCGATGTTTCGGGAGTACGAGGGCATTCCCAGGTTGTAGGTTTGCTCATTGATCGTCAGGTTGCGAATGCATCCGAAGAATCCCTTCTTGGCTGGAACGTGCGTCCAATTTAGCTGCCTGCCCAGCCGCTCCAGGTCCACCGGAGTGCCGCCCAGCTGCAGCGGGGCATTTACGTTGAGGAACTCATTGGGACCAATCGGGGCGCCCAGGGTCTGGCAGGTGGACAGCCGGCAATTGTCGACCGTCATCTCGATGCTCTTTCGCTGCAGAATAATGTCCAGTTGGTAGGTGCGGTCGGCAACCATCTTAATGTGCTGATGCCGAATGCGAATGGCACCCGAGCCGTAGTCCACAGTCAACACTGGATAGCCATTGTCCAGTTCCAAGGCCAGGAAATCGGAGATTGCCAGCAATGGGTTGAAGTTCAGAGGTCCTAGGTACATGATCAGGCCCTGGTCGATCTGTGGCGTGATTTCCAAGCTAATCTGCGTGTTATTGCAGCTGGCAATCGGTTGGTAGAAGGCATAGCCAGAGCCGTAGAAGGCCACAGAGACGAGTTCGCAGTGGGGTCCGGTGAACCCATCTATGCAGTCACACACATCGTTCTCCCCGAATCTCGGAGATCCTCCGTTCAGACAGGGTCTCATCAGAGGGGCCTCGCAAACACATTGCGCCTGTACAAAGGCATTCACGCCCACAAACGAGGTCGTGTTCGAGTAGATCATATATGGCACCGAGCTCTTGTGCAGCTCATTGGTGCACGACTCCTCGCACTTGAACCGCTCTATCAGGCACTCGTCGATGTTCACCATCAGCATCTGCAGGTCTAGTTCGTTCTCCAAACTATTCTGGTTCTGGGCCACTATTCCATTGAGCTTCTCGGGAGCGTAGTAGGGTGAACCGTGGGCTGAGAAGCGCACGTCCAGGGTATGGTTTTCGTTCTGGAGAACCGTGAACACGTCCACGTTGGACACCGAGGTGTTAAACAGCTTGGACAGCGAGAGCTGCAGGCGATCCTTGAGGGAAAGCGCTTCCGGAGACTGAATGTCTCGCGGTACACTGATAAACTCCTCCTTGGTCACGTTAATGAATCGAATGCTTCCGCTCTTGTCCACCGCCTCCTCGGGCAGTTCTCGGACCACCACTGTGACATAGGCGTCCACGGAGTGACGGGGCACGAACAAAGACTCCTCGGTCACCACGAACGACAGGTCGTACTCTCCCTCTTGGGTGTGAACCAGCATAGTGATCATTCCCGTGCTGGGATTCAGTCGGAACTGGTCGTGCGGCAGATCCTTCCATTCGAAGTACTTGTCCTCCAGATCCCAGTCGTCTAAATCATCCACAAACACGCGACCAATGTCCGTTTCCGGCGCCTCTCCCTTGTAATTGTAGATGAAGATGCGAGACGAACCCTCACTCATGGCATTATCGTTGACATCGCCAATCACCAGGTGCAGGATGCTCACCGCACTCTGGCGGGGAACGCCCGAGTCACTGATGCGGATGGGGATGAAGTACTCCTTCTGGGCCTCCCTGTCGAACTGCACGTTTGCGTGCAAATAGTCACCGTCCATGCTGAACTTGGTCTTGATGTCTGGCGAGGCCTCGCTGTCAATGCCGTAGGTGAAGTTACCCGCCCCCGGAGTGTCATCGTAGTCATTGGCCTGCAGCTGGACAACCAGGCCGGGATTTCGGTTCTCCGGCCAGTAGACGGGCATTTCGTTGATCAGGAACGGAGCGTTGTCGTTGATGTCCTTCAGAATGATCGTGACCTCCTTCAGTTGACTGACCGTGCTGCCGACTCCATCCTCGTCGTTGGCCTTGATCAGCACCTGCCAGGTCTTGTGACCATTGGGTGGATCGCGATCTAGCGTCTTGATCAACCGCAGGCAGCCACTGTTGTCGATGCTCCAGCGATTGCCGTCGTTCTGGTGAATCGAATAGACGATGTGCTGGTCTGCATTGCGATCCTTGATGTCCGGATCGTAGGCTTCCACGGTGAGAATGCAGTCGTCATAGGTGGTCTCCTCCAGGATGGTGACACTGTAGTCCTGCTTGAACACCGGTGGGTTGTCGTTCACATCCTCGATCTTGATGACCACCGTGGTGTAATCATCGTAGATTCCATCAAAGGCTCGCACCTTCAGCTCGTACTCCGTGATCGTTTCGTAGTCCAGCTTCTGATTGACCGTGATCTTGCCGGTCTTCAGACCGATCTTAAAGGCGTCGCCCACGTTACCGCTCTCGATGCTGTAGAGAATCTGCGATGCATTGTCCTCGTCCTCGGCCTTCACCTCGATCACCTCCGTGTTGGTGTTGGCGTCCTCGAGCAGTCGTTCCGCCAGATATCTGTCCTGCTGGAAGTGCGGCTTGTGGTCGTTCTTGTCGCCAATGGCGATGCGGAACACCTGGTGACCACGGTTTGGCTCGCCATTATCGAACAGACTCGAAGGTGAATTATCGCTGGCAATAACTTTAACGTTGTAGAAATCACGCTCCTCCCGATCGAAAGTTGTGAGTGCGGTGATGTTACCGGTATTGGGATCGATGGTGAAGTACTCCCGGTTGTCAGCCAGTTCGAAAGAGACAATATTATTGGCCGCCGTGCCGTCCATGTCGAAGGCTCGCACCTGCATCACTGGCGTGCCGGGTGGTTCATTCTCCAGGATCGTGCCCGACTTGACCTCCGTGTAGTAGGGGATATTATCGTTGACATCCTCCACCTGGATTTTGATCTGATGCTCCGTGCCCAGTTCATGGGTGTTGCGCACAATCATGGTGAGCGTGTAGTCTGTGATGGCCTCGTAGTCCAGAGTCTTGCCCAGGCTAATGGTAACCTCGTTGCCAATCTGGTTGAACACGAAAGTGTTCTTGCTGTTCGTTTGCTCTGTCCGCCCGGTGTTTAGCTCAAAGATCACCTCCGGCTTGTCGGGCATATTGGAAACTGCCCGCAAAGTGGCAATCGGATGGGTGAAGTTCTTGAGATTCTCCTTCAGGTAAATGGGTGTGTCGATGGGATTCACGAAGGAAGGTGGCTTGATCGAGGACTCCACCACGCGGATGCGGACTTCGATTTGCGCATCCTGCGGCGGATCGGGCACTACGTTATAGGCTCGCACTATTATCGCATACGATTGGCCGGGTCGCTTGTCAATTGATCGTTTCAGATAGATGATACCGGACTCCTTGTCGATCTTGAAGTACTGGAAGTCGCGCTCCCTTAAGATCTCGTACTCCACCAAACTGTTGTTTCCATCGTCGAAGTCGCTGGCACTGATGGACATCACCACCGCGTCGGGCTGCAAGTAGAAGGCAAAGATAAAGCCAAGGGTATATGGGGGATTTCCGGTTTCCTTCTGCTAAACCAACTTTCCTGCAAGTTTGCCCAAACCAGCAGCAGGCACATGTCCCTCGACCTTCTTTTTTTTCCTAATGCTACCTGAGCGAAAGCCTAAGTTGAACTGAAACCTTTTCTTAGAAAATTTAATTGCCGACAAAGCTTTGCTAAAATAGACATAATTTGTTGGGGTAGTAAAGAGGAAATCAATAAAAGGAAGGCATATAAGGTTGATACCTACATATCTGGCAGAACTATTCTTTGGATGCTATTAAAGTTTTCCAACGAAAGCATAAATGTTTTTAAAATATATTGTTCTTAGAAGCAAAACAATTGAAATAAAATGTTTACGTTGTTTTTATATTAAGTGATTGTTTATTTAAGGCGCATGTTTATCTCCTAATCTTAGAAATGATAATAAAATATTTTTCATATTTCACAGAGTATTTATAAAACAAATTCCCTATTTTAATTTAATTTCATTAAATATTCCCCTTGAACTACTGTACGATTTTACGAGTTAGCTAAATTTAGTTTTCCTACCTCTGCTCTGCTAAGCTGTTTGGCTGCCCTTTGCTATTTGGCTCGACGACAAGTTTTTCTAGTTGCTAACATGGAAATGGCGTAAAAGAAAAGGCGCTGGAAAGGGTTTCAAGGTTTTCAGTATCGAACGAACGAGCAATGAACCCGAAACCCGTCTCCAAGTGGTCGCCCTCCTACGCCAAGCGAAAACTAGTTCCGCCCAAGAAGATGTTCGCCCATGAACTGGGCAAGTGGTTAATTAACGCTGCAGAAACTGCAGGACGTGCGACAGTTGGAGTCCCCGTCTAATGGAATGGCCAGGTGGGTAGAGAGAATGGAGGTTGTTGGTGGCAATGACCCATAAAGGCCAGCACTCAACAAAATACAAAATGGTTTTTTAGACTTCCTTCATTATATTTTAAAGATATATAAGAAACATATTGGCTCAAACAATCTGTCCATTTTCCTTTTCTTATGAAGAATATTTAAAACTAAATAAAGTATGTAACATTTTATATTAAAACGTTTGAAAGAATTAACCCTATATTATCTAGGGTGCTACAAATATATTTTCTTTTATTAAATAAATGATTTAAATGAGGGGGTTTAAGAGGAAAAGGAATTCGTTTCCTTCTTTAAAAAAATTTCATAGTAATCCTTAATTTTTTAACAATGAAATGTTTTTCTTTTCCTTGAAAATTCAACATTTTCTAGATTTTAAGGAAAAATTAAAGATCTTTTGCTATTATATTCCTATTTTCCTTTTCCAACTTTAATTTAAAATTTAAAAAATTTAACTATCCCACAGTAAACCCACACAATTTCTGCCGAAACCTGACCAAACATTTTTCCGTTCTCAAAAGACAATTAAGTTAGGTATGTACATGGGGGGCAAAATGGTAGAAATGACATCACTCTAGCGCCGAACAACTAACTTGGCCAAGCCGCAGTAATCCGGGGTCCGCAAGCTTGGCCAGCAGTGGCCGGAAGAGAGGGCCAATTCCAAAATCAGTGGGTTTCTGTAACTCACCTGGGCATTTTCCGACATGGACTCGTCATAGCGCGCCTTGTTGAAGGCGGGGGCATTGTCGTTGATGTCCTCGATGGTCACGTTGAAGGTGCAGACGTCGTCCAGCGGGGGCAGGCCGTTATCCGTGGCCTGGACGGTGACGAAGACGAACTTCTCGTGGATGGGCTCGTCGCGATCGAAGGTGTGGGTGGTGAAGATCACGCCCGTCGAGGGGTTGATGAAGAACTTGGGCCGCTCGAATGGCGACTGGACGAGGCTGTAGCGAATGACCTGGTCGGGATCGGGGTCATCGGCCTGGACGGTGAGCACATAGGTGTTCTCCGGCTGCTCCTCCTTGACCTTTGGAGCATAGCCGGCGCAGTTTCTGAAGGCGGGCTTCCGATTGTCGCCGGTGTAGGTCTTGTCCGGCGGCGAGTGGAGTGCGAGGGCGGGTGACAGCAGACTGATGGCCACGAGGACGCCCAGGAGGAGTCTCGCGGGGATTAGTCGCCTGCCCAGGTCGCGGCATTTCCGCTTGTGCTGCTGATGTGTCTGTTGCTGGGCGGGATTGATGGATTGGCGGCCGGTTGTTTGGCTCACCAACGACGACGTCATGTTGATGCAGTGAGGCAGTGGCTCGGGGACACACTCGCTGCTGGACACTGTGGGACACACAACACTCTCCTCTAGCGGCGATCCGCCATCGCAAACTCTCTTTTTCAGCCGCAGCAGCACTTTCGAGCACTTCTTTGTGAATCACCCAGTATTATTTTCACTCACACACCTTTTGCTTTTGCTTTTGCCTTAGCTTTATCTAGCTCTGTTTGTATTTTATTCTATTTGCACTCTTCTTCTCGCCGCTTTTCGCTCAGTGTGCCGTTTGTTTGGACTGCATTTTCATGGCAACCGCTCAATAATTATCAATCGAATTGAGTTTGGTATTAATACTCGCGTACAGTGCGCGCCCTGATTGTAAACTGACTTATTCCGATTTCGGTGCAGCTGCCCTGCCTGATATTTCGTTCACTTTTATCTTTCACTCGTCCGCTTTGGCACTCTCTTTCTACTCCTCTACTTCTCCTCTGACCACTCTCTTTCGGTTGGCAAACAGGTAAGACCAGGTAAAAAAGTGGTTACACGCACACCAACAAGCGCGCGCTTTTGTGTGCGTGTGCTTCGGTCCTCTGCGCTGGTATGTGTGTTACCAACTCGGAATTGTTGGTAGAAAAAGGCACTTTTAGATGGTATTTCGTTGTGATTCGTACACTTTGGCGAATTATTTCAAACAGAAAGATCGCAAAACGTAATTTCATTCACTTTGATCGTTTTAATTTCGGTTAAAAGCGAAGCCGCGGGAGAAAACCGAATTCGAGTCCGCGATCGACGCGCGAGACAACCGCCCAATTCAAAAACAACAAAATTTCTGTGGCGGTGAAGAGTGTGACCGCGGAGTCATCGATCAATAATACCGTCCGGCGCAAATATACCAAAAATATTGCAGGCGGTCACTTTGAATATATCGATATTTTCACTTAAGTTCGTGCGCGTTGAGGTGGGTGTACTTGCTAGGATAGGATCAGAAATCGGCTAACTATTTTATAGCATGATCGCTTCAAAAAGAAGCATAAAAAGGAATGGTTTTGAAAGTCTTTAAAAGAACGTAACAAAATAAAAGATATTATTCAGTTGCTTTTTTGTTAATTTGCTTGAAATCCTTTGCGAACCGTAGTTAAAGACGTTTAAATTCCGGGTATTCCCTAAGCTGTTAAGTTGCCTAATCTTTTTTCTTAACTTTTATCTTTTTTAACCCTATCTAAACTCACTAGTTACACTCCACAGAAAGAACAAATACTTTTACTATTTGCAAACGAAAAAGAAAGCAGCAACACGTTGAAAAATTAGACAATAAAACGCATTGTAGTAAACATTATGTGCTAACAATTTAGTTTACATACCTCGACTCTTTGTAGCCAGGCAAAAATACAAGTTTATTGTTCAAAAATCGAGTGCCAACTAGTGTTTTCGCACAACAATTTAAATTAAAAATGTAGTTTCTTGGTTTGTAAATTGTTTAAAAACAGGAAGGAAACTGGCTCGTGAATAGTAACTTTTTTCAATTGAATACTGGGTTATTATACTGTGAATAGTAATTAAATAATAAATTATTATTTGCGTAACTGTCCTTAAAAGCAATGAATAAGAAACAATTTTAACCTCTGATGATTGTAAATATCACGCACTATGACCGTTTACATTTTACAATAAATTCAAATTAGCCGCCAAAGTGGTTGCCATGGTGCAGTGGAGTCCGTCCATAACATTACGGCGATTCCGATCCGGTACAGGTACACAAGTATCGCCCATCCCTAGCAAGAAGTGAGAAAAAAAGTGAATCGAATCGTCATCGTCTTGGCCCATTAATTGCGAAGAAAAAGATTGCTGTGCCGAAGAAAACGGTCGAGGAAGAGTTCCAGCGACACCGCAACGCCCCAGCAGTCCACACCGCGATCCCGGCCAGAGGAATAACGCAGGGCACCGGAAGGGAAATCAGAGCAAGCCAAACAACCGCCCCTGCCCCGATTTCGTGAATCACCCAGTGGAACCATGGAGCAGACCCCGATCACCGATGCGGAGAAGGTGCGCATTGTGTCCGACTTCATCCTGCACGCGCCGCCCGGCGAGTTCAACGAGGTGTTCAACGATGTGCGGGAGCTGCTCAAGAACGACACCCTGCTGAAGGACGGGGCCAGCCACGCCTTCGCCCAGTACAACAAGGACCAGCTGACCCCGGTCCGCATCGAAGGCACCGACCACAATGCCATCATATCGGAGCACAACGATCTGGGTGAGCCTATGCCCATAAATGGACAAAAGCCCGCGATGAGTCACCAGGGTTTTGTTTGGGTTTCAATCGATATCATGCTAGTCAAATACTGATAAGCAATTGCATTTCAGGCAATGGTCGCTTCTTCGATCCTCGCACAAAGCAAGCCTTCAAATACGACCACCTCCGGAAAGAGGCCTCCGACTACCAGGATGTGGATGCTGATGCCACAGCGGAGCCCTGGAGGGCAGCCCTAGACCTGGAGACGCTCGCCTACACTGCCAGTCACTATAGACACGGAGTAAGCTCTGGGAAAACATCCTTCTGCTTGTGCTAACCCTAGAATTCCCTCCACAGGTCAGCTCTGTCTTTGGAAAGGCGCAGGGCAACCAGATTACCCTGACTATTTGCATTGAGGACCACCAGTTCCAGCCGAAGAATTACTGGAACGGCCGATGGCGCTCCCAGTGGCACGTCAGCTTCCAGGCGGGCAATGGATCCGCCGAGCTGAAGGGCGTGCTTAAGGTGCAGGTGCACTACTACGAGGACGGCAACGTGCAGCTGGTGTCCTCGAAGGAGTGCCGCGAGAGCGTGGTGGTCAGCAATGAGCAGCAGCTGGCCAAGGAGGTGATTCGCCTGATCGAGGAGGCCGAGAACGAGTACCAGCTGGCCATTTCGGAGAACTACCAGACCATGTCGGACACCACCTTCAAGGCCATGCGCCGCCAGCTGCCCATCACCAGGACCAAGATCGATTGGAGCAAAATCGTCTCGTACAGCATTGGCAAGGAGCTGAAGACGCAATAAGACCACGAGGTGCAAGCGGAAGAGGAGCGGACACAGTCGACGAAGCGGCCCAACAGTCTTCCACTTGCCATGGCCAAGCGAGCATAGGAACCGATCATCAGCATTACCACCACAACATCCAAACCGAAGCAGCAGGCACAGGAGTACGAGAATACGAGAGCGAGCAGGCGCCTGCCCAAAATAAAATGTCTGTAATTGGCTATATACATACGAACATATACCTACATATATCTATATATACGGCGTGTATTTATACTGTGTTATATAACGACGAAAGTGCGTATACATAACGACATATATAACGATTACGATCGGAGACGATTTGATTGCAAGCATTTGGATGACTTTAGCCTGACGGTGAACGATGCACTGCTGCCTCGTCTGCGTCACGATCGCCACCAATTGTCGCCTTTATCGTTTAAGAAGAGCATTAAACGCGGATTTTATCATGTCCTCTAACCTATGTATTATTCTAATTTTAAACGAATCGAACACGAGATCTGCGCTCTAGATGAGCCTACAGCGGGACACACACCAACCAGCCAACTCTCGACTATTTTAAGTGGTATCATTAGAGCACCCATTGAAGTTTTCTGCTTTCCCGATTGTTCACCACCACCTAGCCTGAGCATGAATATTAACTAAGCTAAACCACTGATCATTTTTGCCAGACAAACAATAACTAAAGACTTTGATTTTATAAAAACACAATAAATTTGTAATTAAAATAACATAACTATACAACATTTAAGATTGCTTGAATTAGTCAAATTTAATGAGAATAAACTAATTGAATCGGATACCGAGTTCACTTTGAATGCGTTTCGGATTGCTTGGCATTTAGCAGATTTGATTCTGATAGGATAACACTGGAATCCACTTGGGCAGGCTGTTTGCTCAGACTCTCGGGCAGATCGAAGGTGAGCTCTTCGGACTTCTTGAGCAGGAAGCGCTTCTCGGGATTGAGTTTGGTTTCCAGCTCCAGCCGATCGATCAGCCAGCCTCTGTCCGGCTGATGGGAGGCCCAAAAGAAGAGAGTTCCTGGGGAATCACAAGGTGTTGATTATTAGTAACTAACATGTCAATCGAAGGATCGATGTACCTTTATCTTTGCTACCCCTTACGGAAACCTCGAAATGCGCCATTTCCGCATTGCAATTGTTGTTGGCATTGGACAGATCTATGCCCAAGTCCTTGATGGGTTCCCCCAGAAGGTTGGATGCTCCTCGATGGCTTCTCAGTGCCTTCAAAGCCAGTTTATAGTACTCGCAGGATCTGACCCGATCCTCCATCTTCCATCTCATGTACATCACGGCGGAAATGGAGGCCACGGCGCCGTATACGCAAATATTGCCCAGCGTTTTGTTGGAGGGCATTCTTAGCCGGAGTCGGACCATCTTGATAAGGTATGTTTATTTCAAAAAATCAGCCCCTAACTTGTGTAATATTAGACAATAATATAATAGCCGGTGCCGTTACTTGGAGATGACAGTTGGTCGATATTTTCTAATCTTTAAAATAAGTGACAAAAATTGAAGAAAAGAACTGATCAAAATGTTGGTTAAAATGGAAAATGTATTATTATTTTATCATTTCCATAAACAATTTTAAAAATACCATTTTTGATTTAATAATATAACGTTTTGCAAAGAAAAAGGTTCATCTCTAGAATTGTTTGTACAAAATTTATGACAGAAATAAATAGTATTTCTATAATAATTGGACTAATTAATGTTTATAAAGTCATATCTATAAATTGGTGGTTAAAAATACATTTTTATTTACCAAAATCCATTCGATAGTTATTTGTTTTGAATAATCAGCTGACAGCTCGTATACTTTATAACCAGGGCTGCACAGTCGCATTCGGCAGATTATACAACTAAACGGGCGTTTTGTAAATAAGTTGCATTAATTTAACAAATATTCGTCAATTAAAGTGACGATTAGGGAGGAAATAGAATAAATAGCAAACATGAGCAACTTTACGGCTGTTTTCCAGATGTTAAGGCAGCGATTGATAGCCCCAGCGATAGGAAACACGGCACGTTGTTATGCCGTCAAACCGGCGGCACCAGGTTAGCACCCACATCCAGGTTAAGTAGTTCCCCCTATAACTAATGGTATCCTGAACCCAAAGCGAGCAAGAAGAAAAAGCTGGGCAAGCTGGGACCCATCATGGAGAAGAAAATCATTCCCGTGGAGACGGATGCCAACAAACTGGTGAACTATGTGTGCGGTAGCAACTACCTGAAAACAGGACAGGATGTCAAGGTGAGCGATTAAAACAGGTTCCCCGGGAAAGGATATAATATATGTAACCTCCAAAACAGATCAAACCGGATGCGGAGTACCCCGACTGGCTGTGGTCCTTGAACACCGAACGCATCATCCCGCTGGACGAACTGGATCCCAACTCCAAGCAGTACTGGCGACGCCTCAGGAAACTGGCCTTGCGGCGCAACAATCAGCTGTCCAAGCTCAAGAAGTTCTAGACTCTGTAGCCTTAGGTGTTATCGTTGATTTTGGAGACCCGACCCTCAAAGCGTCCATGTTGTTTGCCATGCTCTCCTGAGCAACAAGTGTGTAAACACCATGTTTTCTGCAAAAACAAACCGCAAATACATATTACAACGTCTTACCCTCCTTATCAATAATCGAAATGCTATAAAAGTCATGGAGTTGAGGGAAGTTTCAATTCATTGGCCAAGAAATGTGGAGCGGAACTGGTTTGATTAAGCTGCTCATCGGGCCTATCCTGATGGTAGCATCCTCATCCGCCCAAGGCAACTCTTCAAGTAAGTAGCTGCCTTCCTTGTACACCGGATTATCCAAGGATACCCTTGCAGAGAACGTTGTCTGCTACCAGGGCACTTGGTCCGTTTATCGACCTGGTCTGGGCAAGTTCGGCGTGGAGGATATCGATCCGTTTCTATGCACCCACTTGATCTACGCCTTCTTGGGCATTGAGGAGACGGGTCAACTGCGGGTGATTGATGCCTATCTGGATCTCGAGGACAATGGCGGCCGGGGAAATATCAAGAGCTTTAACGCACTCAAGCTGAAGAATCCCGTGCTGAAGACTCTGGTGGCCGTGGGTGGTTGGAACGAGGGCTCCAAAAGATTCTCCTTGGTAGCCAGCGATCCCCTGAAGCGCGCCAAGTTCGTGGACGATGTGGTCAGATTCCTGCAGCGCCATGGATTTGATGGCCTGGATCTCGACTGGGAGTATCCCGGCCAGCGTCACAGCCTGGAAAACGCGGATCAATCGAACTATATAACGTTTTTAAAGGAGCTGAAGGAGGGGTAAGAAGGGGGGTCTTTGATTAGTGACCAGTTTTGACCTGTAATCTCCTTAGGCTGGAACCCTTTGGTTTCCTGCTCACCGCGGCTGTGGGATCCGCCCAGTTCTCCGCTGAAATATCCTACGACATTCCGGCCATGGTCCCATACTTGGACCTCATCAATGTGATGGCCTATGACCTCCACGGACCTTGGGACCAGGTTGTAGGCATCAATGCTCCTCTCTATGCCGCTGAAAGTGATTCCAACGACGCCACCGGTCGGCAGCAGCAGCTCAATGTGGACGCCATAGTCAAGTATTGGCTGCAAGCAGGTGCTCCGCCAGAAAAACTGATCGTAGGAGTTCCCTTCTACGGACGCACCTTCACCTTGACCACCGCAGAGGGCAACCAGCCAGGATCTCCGCATATAGGAAGGGGAATAGCGGGCAAATACTCCCGTGAACCGGGTGTCCTTGGATACAACGAACTCTGCGAGCTGATGCAGCAGGAGGAGTGGACCAAGAAGTGGGAGCCGACACAGCAGGTGCCCTACGCCTTCAGGCAGCGACAGTGGGTGGGCTACGAGGATCCACGCAGCCTGTCACTCAAGGCGCAGTATGTGATGGACCACCATCTGGGTGGCATTATGGTCTGGTCCCTTGAATCGGATGACTTCAAAGGCACCTGTGGTCAGCAGACCTATCCCCTCCTGCACGAAATCAACCGAGTGCTCTTCGGCAGTGATACACCCACTGGCTTGACCCCCGAATCCAGCAAGGACAAGCCCAGTGAGGGGTTCAGTTGTTCGGCTGATGCCCCTGAAGGATATGTTCGTGATCCGGACAACTGCTCCAAGTTCTACTACTGCAGTGGCGGCACGACCAACAATTTCGATTGTCCCAGTGGACTTAATTTCGACTTAAACACAAATAGATGTAACTACTCGGGATCAGTAAAGTGCTGATCTTTATTTTTACAAGCGAATATCTTTAGTTGTCTGTGTTCTTGGGATCTCAGTCAACAACCTTGAGGTTCAGTGGCATGTTTTTGAAGTTGTAAACGGGCATTCCCGGTCGCCAGATGACAAAGTTCTGATCACACTTGACCTCTTCGGCGGGTCGGCAGATGATCTGAGTCTCGTCAAAGTACTGACCCTTTAAGCACTCGTAGTAGATCCTTTCCCCATTGCGGCATTCGTGGTAAAGCCGGCAGTCCCAAGAATCCCGCCGGAATCCATCCTGGGGGCAAAGTCCAGAGGCCTCAGTGGTGGGCTTTTCGGTGGTCAGGGCATTCTTGTCCCCTAAAGCAGCAAAGATCACATGAAGCAAGCCATGACGTTCGCCACAACTGCCCTGGAAGTCGTCCACATCGACGGTCCAGGCCATGGCGCCGCCCAACTTGTGCTTTTGGAGCAAGTGCATCTTGGCCCAGATGCTTTGCGGATTCTCGTAGCTCACCCACTGATCACCCCTCACCGCATAGGGCACCTTGGCCACCTTGTCAAACTTCCTGGTCCAGTTGGACTGCTGCACGCACCACTCGTTGTAGGTCATGAAGCCATCACGATGGGATAACTTTGTCCGCTTGCCGGGTCCCTTGGAGGGGGATCCCACAGCCGCCTGGTTCTTATCCATGGTGTAGGAGCGCACGAAGAAGGGAATGTTCAGGATGAGTTTCTCGGGCGCCTTTCCATGCCTCTTCCAATGTTTAATGGCATCGGTAACGGTGTCTCCATGTCCGTGAAGTGGAGCATTGTAAGCCAGCCGCAGGCGGTATGCATCCCGTTCGTCGTGCATCATTAGATGGACAAAGTCAGAGTTCTTCACTATCCCAGGAATGTCGTAGCTCTCAAGGCATTCCTTGTTGGTTCGTCCCAACACAGACACCATGAGAACTAACTTGTGCTCCCGAAAGCTATTGGATGAGGTATAGAATCTAAAAAACCTGAAGAATATAACACCTCAATTGAGACCCACATTAATCCCAGCTCCTCTAACAGGAGCATAAAGTTTTTCCTGTCCTCAGATTGTCCACCGCGCTGAGTGGGGTAACGCCAATCGATCTGGACCCCATCGAAACCCCACTTGAACAGGAACGCTATCAACGAGGTGAAGAAGTTGTCGCGCTTATTTGGAGAGGCTACCATCCTGGAAAAGTGCTTAGATTCCTCCTGCCATCCACCTACGGTGAACAACACCTTCTTGATGCTATCACACTTCATGTTTTTAACACCGCTCAGCATGTCTATAAGGATTTTGGGATTTATATTCATAAGTAATATCTTTGGTTTGGAATATATGTATGAATTCTAAACATTCGATATTAAATTCTGTAAGTTAAGATTCTACAAATATTTGGAAGACCAGTATTTCCACTTACTCTTCTCCAGGAGCAAGTGTTGGTCGGTGATCTTCAATTCACCGGTCTCTCCATCAACACCCACACCAGAACCGATGACCAGGTGAGTGCAAAGTCTCGAGTCCAAGTTCCAGTCAAAGAATTGACTGCGTTCTTTAAAATAGTAGGAGGCCAAGTCGTATTGGCAGAAGACATTGTCTACAGGAATAATTGTTAACCTGTACAAGGAATATTACGAAGAAATACTTACACTCTTTAGCTATAGAACCGCAGATCAGAAATATCATTACCGTAAAAACACACTTAAAAGAAGCCATGGCTAAGACAAGCCTAATGAAGCTAACTTTAAATTTATATAATTTTTGCCAGATTGCAGATAAAACGAAATGGTCAAGTAAACAAAATGTAAGTTTTTGTTAAAATTTGTTTCCGGACCAGTAAAAGTGTTTTGAGTTCCGTGTTGTTTCTGAATCAGTGTCATTTGAGAAATGGTAATGTAAAATACTAGTACATTAGAAAAGCACCGATAACTTGATGCCAAAATATATCTCTTTATCTGGAAATATTACATGGTACCTCTGCAGACATATTTTATCAAGGGTACTAATGTAAGAATTTAAAGTACTTTGGTCACGGCAATACTTGAACATGGCCTAGAACTTAACGTTTCTTAACACTACCTCACCCATCTATGGTTTCTTGTAGACAAGTCCACAGGTATTTATTGTCATTATCATTGTTCCAATATTGAAATTGTACCATATGTAGTTGCCTCATGAGCTTTACAATTGAGTTTCGTTATGTCTGTATGATGACTAAGTGTTTGTTTGTAAATATTATTATTGGAATTTAAATCTTATCAGTGTTTAGCTAGTCATAAATATTGATTTACTTAGTATAAAATTCTTGTGGGGGCCTCTTAAAGAGATTTATATTTTCGATTGTTGCAATTTTTGTATATTTTCTTTGGCTGTTTATCTAATAGGGGCAATCGACATTCCACTCCCAATCGCAGTTATTGGAGGTGGGATTAAAGTAGAGTCCTGTGGCGCATTGGAAGTCGTATCGGATTCCATCTGCACACTGGTAGTATTTGTTACAATCTCCCACACTCATAAAGTGGCCATTTCCTGAAGTTGAGCAGTCTCCACCGGAACCACCTCCGTTGCCACCACTTCCTCCGCCGGGAGTGGGTGTCGGAGTGGGAGCAGCAGTTGGAGATGGGGTAACACTTCCTCCTCCTCCGCTGCCACCTCCTCCGCTCACCTCCTTGCCCAGAGCGCGGTTCATGGTCTTTAGCAGGGGATAGGTCTCTCCGCAGAGGCCACGGAAGTCATCCGTCTCTATGGACCACATCATTGCACCACCCAGGTTGCGGGACTCCACCAGCTGCATCTTCAGCTGGATGCTCTCGGCGTTGTCGTACCCAATCCACTGATCGCCCTGGAAAGCATACGGAGCACCGTTCTCCTGATCGAAAACCGTGTTCCAGTTATTCTGGCAGATCTCGTGGTAGCCTAGGAATCCACCCTCCCGGGTGTAGACGCCAGCAGTTCCAGGACCAATGCAAGCTGCACCAGGCCAGTTCTGAGAACTATCCGACATCTGGTAGCTGTGGCCATAGAAGCCAATGCCCAAGATCAGTTTCTCAGCGGGGGCACCTAGTCATAATACATAAAGATTAATGGGATATCAGAATTTTTTTCGATTCCCCAACTTACCATGAGATAACCAGTAGTCAATGGACTCGGTGACCTCAGGCAGAGGAGCATTGAGACCCAAATAGCCATCCAGAGCCATGTGGAAGTCGTAGGTCATCACATTGATGAAGGTCAGATGCTGGGAAATGGCCGGAATGTCATAGGAGATGCTGGCCGACTTCTCGGAGGCACCCACAGCAATACCCAGTTCCAATCCATATTTGTCATAGCTGTAGGTAGATGATATATCATTTTGCAATCCAAGAAATTCCCTCTATAAGCACTTACGTTTCCTTAATCTCCCGCAGCAGGATCACGAAGTTCTCGCGATCCGACTCTCCGCCTCCTCGCTGACCAGGATACTCCCAATCTAGATCCAAGCCATCGAAGCCATACTGCTGAATGAAGGCCAGGGAGCTGGACACAAACGTGGCACGCTTGGCAGGATCGGCGGCCATGGCCGAGTACTTTGTGGAGCCCTCGTTCCAGCCACCCACCACGGCCAGAATCTTTAGGTTTGGGTTCCGTTGCTTCAAGGCAATGGTTTGGCTTATATAGCCTATGCAGTAAAACCAAATTTTTACTTGGGTTCCTCGCCTATATCAATATTTTCTAAGTTTATATTACCCAGTCCATCGTCCATGTCCAGCCAGGTGTCCAGGGACTTGAACTCTCCCGCATCGCTGATCCCGAAGAAGGTGTAGCTGATGTGGGTGCACAGGAAGGGATCGATGTCGGAGGGGGTGAATTTGCCATCACCAGGACGGTAGTTAGCCCAGGTGCCCCAGTAACAGTTGATCAGCTCTGAAGGATCATAAGGTTTCAATAATACACCGATTTCTGGAAATACTACCCAAACTACTCACTTTCGCTGAAGGCCACTTGGCCAAGGCAAAGGCAAAGAGCTGCCAAGGCCCAAATAGATAATAACTTCATGCTTCACTCAGTCGGTCAACATCAACAATAGCTTCGTGTATTATGGTACTCCGTTTATATAGGCCACTCCCCAGGTAAGTTCTTATCGCTACACTTCGACATGGTTGATAAATCGCTACTTCACATAAGAAATCGTAGAAACAGAAAACAAAAGTGTAATATATTGCATTCTATGAGGAAAACGAAACGACACGATGGCCTATAACTGTACACATACCAATCTCATATTATATTATGCACATAAATTTTAACTCATTGATAGATCTTTAAGTGCGTCTTGAGATTTGGACGATGGTGCTCGTATTGTACCCCACTCAAACTCGCACTTTGTCATCGTCCTGGGTGGTGATTCAAAACTGTTGCTAGCTACTCATAAAGCCCCTTTATAGTGAACTCAAAATAAATAAATAAACATTCTTCTACGAATGTGACTACATTGTTACATTACAATACATACATTATATCATTTAATGTTGATAGATTTATTTAGCTGGAAAATGTATCAATATACGAATGGTAAACATTTATTTTTGCTTTGCTTGTAATTCTTCAGTAAAATGTCGTTACTTGTAGGCGAATTATTTTATCTGGTTTATTAATCGAATTCTTTGGAATCGTTTAGTATTTATTTTGGGCATTGGAAGTTAGGATGGTTTACTAACTATCAAAGTTTTCCGATTCTATAAGTGAATAAAGAGTAGGTAAATATTATTATAACAAATTTGTTGAGACAAAAAATAATTTTCTACCATTAAAGATTTGAATGATTCTGTTTGTAAGTATTGTTATTAGAATCTAAATATACTCAGTGTTTAGCTGGTCATAAATAAAGATTTATTTAATATACAATTCTTGTGGGGCCTCTTAAAGAGATTTATTTTTGGACTATTGCAATTTTTGTATAATTTCTTTGGCTGTTTATCTAATAGGGGCAATCGACATTCCACTCCCAGTCGCAGTTATTGGAGGTGGGATTAAAGTACAGTCCCGTGCCGCACTGGAAGTCGTACCGGATTCCATCTGCACACTCGTAGTATTTGTTACAATCTCCGACACTCAAAAAGTGACCTCCTTGCCCAGAGCTCGGTTCATGGTCTTCAGCAGGGGATAGGTCTCGCCGCAGAGGCCGCGGAAGTCATCCGACTCTATGGACCACGTCATGGCCCCACCCAGGTTGCGGGACTCCACCAGCTCCATCTTCAGCTGGATGCTCTCGACGTTGTCGTATCCGATCCACTGATCGCCCTGGAAGGCATACGGAGCACTGCTCTCCTGATCGAAAACCGTGGTCCAGTTACTCTGGCAGATCTCGTAGTAGCTCAGGAAACCACTCTCCTGGGTGTAGACGCCAGCAGTTCCAGCACCAATGCAAGCTGCACCGGGCCAGTTCTGAGAATTATTGGACATTTGGTAGCTGTGGCCATAGGAGGCAATGCCCAAGATGAGCTTCTCAGAGGGGGCACCTAGCCATAGTACATAGTGATTAATGGATATCCGAACTTTTAAGGTTCCCCAACTCACCTTGAGATATCCAGTAGTCAATGGATTCGGTGACCTCGGGCAGCGGAGCATTGAAACCCAAATAGCCATCCGAAGCCATGTGGTAGTCGTAGGTCATCACATTAATAAAGGTCAGGTGCTGAGAAATGGCCGGAATGTCGTAGGAGATGTTGGCCGTCGTCTCGGAGGCACCCACAGCAATACTTAGTTCTAATCCATACTTGTCAAAGCTGTTGGGAGATGATATATCATATTGCGGTCCAAAGAATACCCTCTATAACCATTTACGTTTCCTTAATCTCGCTCAGCAGGGTCACGAGGTTCTCGCGATCCGACTCGTTGCCTCCTCGCTGACCAGGATACTCCCAATCTAGATCCAAGCCATCGAAGCCATTCTGCTGAATGAAGGCCAGGGAGCTGGATATGAAGGTGGCACGCAAGGCAGGATCGGCAGCCATGGCCGAGTACTTGGTGGAGCCCTCGTTCCAGCCACCAACCGACGCCATAATCTTCAAATTTGTGTTATTTTGCTTGAGGGCAATGGTCTGGTTTACAAAGCCTGTGCAGAAAAACCAAAGTTTTACTTGGGTTCTTTACCTATGCCAATATTTTCTAAGTTTATATTACCTAGTCCAGTGTCCAAGTCCAGCCAGGTGTCCAGGGACTTGAACTCTCCCGCATCGCTAATCCCGAAGAAGGTGTAGCTGATGTGGGTGCACAGGAAGGGATCGATGTTGGAGGGGGTGAATTTTCCATCCCCAGATCGGTAGTTGGCCCAGGTGCCCCAGTAACAGTTGATCACCTCTGAAGGATCATAAGGTTCAAATAATACACCGATTTCTGGGAACATGTCGAAAACTACTCACTTTCGCTGAAGGCCACTTGGCCGAGGCAAAGGCAAAGAGCTGCCAAGGACCAAATCGATAATAGTTTCATGCTTTACTTAGTCGGTCAACATTAACAATAGTTTCGTGTCTTACGGTACTCCGTTTATATAGGCCAGGTAAGTTCTTATCGCTACACATCGCCTCTATCTTTACACATACCACTCTCATATTATATTATGCACATAAATGTTAACTTATAAATAGATTTATAAGGGCGCCTCGAGATTTGGACTATGGTACTCGTATTGTTACACGCACTTTATCATGGTCCTGAATAGTGATTCAAAACTGTTGCTAGCTACTCATAAAGCCACTTCATGTGAACTCAAAATAAAGGAATAAAAATTCTTCTACGAATGTGACTGTTGTTGTTTATTTAGCTGGAAAATGTATCAATATACGAATGGTAAACATTTATTTTTTGCTTTGCTTGTAATTCTTTGGTAAAATGTCGTTTCTTGTAGGCGATCTAATTTAAGTGGTACATATATTGATCGAATTCTTTAGAATCGTTTTGAGTATGATACATGTCTGATAAGTAATAAAAGTATATATTTTGGGCATTGGAAGTTAGGATGGCTACTAATAACTATCAAAGATCTCCGATTATATCAGTGAAAGAAGACTGTTAAGCAATACTGCATACTATATCACAACTAATTTATGAAACACTTACTGACGAAGTCGTATAAATACAACTATAAAAAAATTTATTGAGACCAAAAATAATTTTCTACCAGATGTGAACGATTTGGAATTTATATGCCTAAAAACAAGCTTATCTGTGAAGATAAAAAATACTGACTTTATAACTTTAATCAGTAGTTTTCACTTTTTACAATGCTAACGATCGTTTCTAATAACTACAAAGCGACAAATTAAAGTGTGGTGAGCCACTAATGATTTTTGAGTTGTTTGGTTTTTAAATCGGAATGAGTTTTTTTTTTATAAAGAAACTCTAGAGGACCTACTCTTTGTCTGGTTTTCAATAGGGCCTTTTACACCCAAATAGATTTTTGATTTTCAAACTTGGTTAGACCAGATTTCTGAGAAGCCCCCTATAAAAGACTTTGGAAGTGCAAGGATCTTTCTTTTAATTTGTAGTCATTTATTCTATTTAATCGGAATCCTCGTTTAGTTATCCCAACGCAGCTTCATGTTGATGGCACGGAGCAGAGGATAGGCCTCGCCGCACTGACCACGGTAGTCGTCGGTCTCCAGGGACCAGATCATGGCGCCAGCCAGATTGTTGCGCAGGGCGAAGTCCATCTTGTACTGGACACTGAGCACGTTGTCGAAGCTCACCCACTGGTCACCGGAGAAGGCGTACGGAGCGGCATTATCGTAGTCGAAGATGGTGTACCAGTTGTTCTGGCAGATTTCGTTGTAGCCCAGATATCCGGTGGAACCAGTGTAGGATCCGGCGGATCCCTCGCCGCGGCACGGTGCTCCTGGCCAGTTTTGGGAAGAGTCCGACAGCTGGAAGGAGCGTCCATAGGTGCCCACACCGAGGACCAGCTTGTTGGCCGGAGCACCCTGGCTCAGCCAGAAGTTGATGGCATTCTCCACGGCCCACTGGGGGGAGTTGAAGCCGGTCCTGCCATCGGAGGCCATGGCAAAGTCGTAGGTCATCACGTTGATGAAGTTCACCTGCTGGGCAATGTTGGCGATCTCGTAGGAGCCGCTGGCCAGGGCCTCACCGGCACCCACAGCAATGCTCAACTCGTAGCCATAAGGAGCGAAGCTATAAAAGAAATACCTTTAATGGAGGACATTTTAGATCAAAGTCCAGTACTCACGCTTCCTTCAGTTCGCGCAGCAGGGTCACAAAGTTGGAGCGATCGTCCCAGTTGCCACCACGTTGGTTGGGGTACTCCCAGTCCAGGTCCAGGCCATCGAATCCATGGTTGCGCAGCAGATTCAGGGCGGAGTTGATGAAGTTCTGTCGCTTGTACCAATCGCCGGACATCGAGGAGTACTTGGTGGAGCCCTCGTTCCAGCCGCCAACCACGGCCAGGACCTTCAGGTTGGAGTTCTGGTTCTTCAGACCGACCGCCTGGCTGATGAAGCCCAGATCGTAGTCCAGCCAAGTGTCCAGGGACTGAATCTCGCCGTTGTCGTTGATCCCGAAGAAGGAGTAGCTCAAGTGGGTGCATAGACCTGCATCGATGTTGGAAACATCGAATTTGCCATTGCCGCTGCGGTAGTTGGCCCAGGTTCCCCAGTAGCAGTTGACGATGCCTGAAATGGTCGAGTTATAAGCATGGTATTACTATTACCTCCAAGTCCGTTTTCCTCAAAATCATACTCACGTTCAGCACCGATCACCTGACCAAGGCAGAGTACTGCAAGTAGTGCCAATAACTTTCCCATTGCAAGAAATGATATTTCATTCCTGTTCCATCTTGGTATTTATACCTTTCTAAGCGCATCTTATCACTTACCTTATCACTCTGGTTGGCTACTCCAATCCACTTGTCTGACAAATTTATTAATGCAACGTCGCGTGCTTCTTGCTTTTGAATTTTAATATTTATACCACGGACTCGTATCTGTATCTCAAGTTCAGATTCATTTTGTTTACTGTCCCTAAAGCTATAAATTCTATCAAGAGGTGCTTCAAAATTTAAGATT